GCGCGCGCGCGCGCGCACTGCAGATTTTGGCCAAATTCCCAGACCCAGATGCAATCGAAACAACACCAAATGTCGCCAAATTCACTCATTTGCAAATGAAAAACATGTCAAACCGCATGATCACCAGAGGAAAAATGTGCATGCCTCTTACTCACCCTGCGTGCATGAACGCTTGTAGGCTTCGCAGTCCAGCCTCTAGGGCTGTTTTTCCCAGAAGCTTCTCGACAAGCGCACTGGCTATGCAGGCCAGCAAGTTTCTATAGCCATATTTTATACGCTGCTATACATAACTTATACATAGAAACCATCAGGCAAAGCCGTCGCCAGAGCCAAGCAGAGCATCCAATCAACTTGCGACGTTATATCAACCCTTGCAGCGACTTGCTGCAATACCTGCATATGCTCAAAAATTTCAAGGGCCGGCAAACTTTTTGCGCTCAAACGATTGGCAAAAAAAGCTCACGCAAACGGAGCTCGGCCGGGCGTGTCTTGGACCGCGCCCTCAGTGGCGGAGTCCATGCGCCCGGCTCCTGGTAGAACCAGAGGAGACCCTCAAAGTCGTCCACTTCCACCAGCGAATTCACGGAGCTCATTATCTTAGCCTCTGTCCCAGGTGCCAGCCCCAACATGCCGGTGAGGGCGCGGCGCAACTCGTACACAGAGATGTCGTCCAGCGCCGAAAGGCTTACCACGCCGGCTATGTTGTCGGTGAAGAAGTGCCTGGCCTCGAACCTGCGTGCACGAGAAGTGCGCATCTGGAATGGTATGACCCTTCTAAATTATGGACAAACCGTTTCATGTAATTCTATATACTCTCCACTCAGAATCTCATATAGCCTCACGACCAGCTCCGTGGGGACGTAAGAAGCTCGGATGACCAAGACAACCGTGTTTTGGGCCACGGGTCGCACCAACATGTCCCGCTGGCTAGACTGGTAGAGGCGGAATCCACGTGGGTCCTTGCTCTTCAGGTTCCACCGCTCGTTGTCAATGAAGATGGACCAGTCCATGTTGACCTCCAGCTGGCGCCTCACCGCGGGCTCCTGGATTCGACGCCAAGCCCTGCGCTGCAGCCGGACTCCGTCGCCCAGCGGCGCCATGTCGAGAGCCATCTCGAACTCAACAGCCATTGGAGAAACTAACGTGGGAAAATTGCTTCTGGCAGTGCCTTGCGAGTTGAAACCCTGCAAGGCATGAGTCGCGTGCGCAGCACTGCGCTCATGGAACATGCGCACTTATCAGTCCCAGACATGTTTGTGGAGACGCAAGCAATGCCGAGCGCCAGGATAATCAGTCCGTGTACATCTGCACAAAAAAACATACATGCATATGTACATATATATATATATGTGTGTGTGTATGGATAGAAATATTTATATATACATTATTTCGCGTGAGCAGTCTTGTTTCTTTGGACGGTGCGAAGGCGTTGCGAACTTCTAGATCAACCTGCATGTGTGGATCGGTTTTAAAAGTGGGCGCATGATCTGCTCCTGGACCCTTAGGCCAGTGGCAGGAACACTGCCCTCATTACCGAGTCGCCCAGCCACGTTTTGCTCCTGAGCCGACGGGTGGGTTTCAGGGAATGCGCCCTTCCCTTGGGGAAGTACAGCCTGCCGTGAATTTCGCTCAGCATCTTCCCAGTTGCGCTGGCCAGAATGCGAATCCTGGTTCCCTTGGTAATCCCTGGCAGGCGGCGCTTGCAGGTGGCGATCAGGCCTTTCATGGTCAGGTCCTCATCCCCGCTGTGAATCCATTCAACGATTTTGTTCCCCGTCATGGGCGAGCACCCCACAATGTGGATGTCGCCGTGGTGCAGCTGGGCGTGCACGCTCACAAGCATTTCTGGCCCTTGCTCCTCTGCTGCCATGAACACCACCCCAATGCCGTGGACATCGCTGGTGTAAAACATGAGGGGTCCTGGCGCTCGACGAACTTGAGGAGGATTCTTGTCCGGTGTGGGCATACCTCTGGCAGCTGCATGTACACCTGCTCTTCTGCCAAAACTTTGGCTTCGATGGCAGGCTTCACTGCACCCCAAGAATCCGCGAATTGCTCTGAAGGAAACTCGGACAAGTCCAACATCCAGAACTCGAGGTAGCTGAAGGCCACAAACTGCATGATTAATGGTGGGAGAAGCGCTTCGCATCAAAAATCTCTTGAGCGTAGACGCTGTTGGGGAATGTGCATAGGCCTGTTTGCGAGCAATGCCCTGCAAACGGTAGCCGCGCTGCGTACGCTGCGGCTACATCATCTGCAATGCAGCAACCCTGCGCTTTCATTGGTCGCCCCTGCAGATTGCCGTCTATATGCAATTTACTGCCACAATTGTATAACCTCCAATTATTCTGTGTTTTATATACTATACTGCATATACCCGACGCATGCATCTTTAGGCATTGCATTTACCTGGCCAATGATGATCGACTTGCACTTCTCTTCTATAGCAGATGCCTTCTCCGCATATTTATAAGAACTGGATTTAAGGTTTTAGAGGTTTAGATGTTGGGGTTCTCTCTCTATGCGGCAACAAAGCTATGAGGCAACCATTTCATTCTGGGAAAAACCGCCTGTTTGCGGCTTACATCCAAAGGTATACGCACAGACACTGTATAGGATTATGATGAATGTATGTACACTTTCTCTTTCCATGCATGTGCAAAGCTGATACAATGAGAAGAAAACGTAGCAGGATCCTTTTGCCATCGCTGCAGTGTGTGAGCTAGCAAAATCTGACCCAGCCTGTCTCCTCGAAAGAGTGTATATACAGGAAAGCGGTCTCCAATACACTTAAACTGCCTGCGTGCTGTTGCTGCTGCAGCGCCTATTTATACGGAAAACCAAGAAAATTTCACATGGACGACGCGGCACGCTATAGCCCCAGCCTGGCGCAAGCTCGAACTGTTCAAACCTTTGCTGGAGAAGGCACGATGATGTCACAGGGATGAAACGGTATGACAAGCTAGCCTTCAGAATGCTGGCTGCTCCAGCTGGAATCCTTCTCCGCCAAGGGTTCTGGCTCGATGTCTGCCGGGGGCAACGGAGGTGGACTTGAAGGCTCATCAACTTTCGGCTTGCGGCGGGTCCTGCGTGCCCGCTTCTTTGGAGATCCCCCTGACTGCAAGGCTTGCTGCAGTTTCCGTCGGCGGCGGGGTTGGGGCTGGTCCACGGTATGGTCGGCTAGGCCCTTTTTGAGGTACAGCCGGAGGTAGCGTAAGTTGATGTCTTTCAGCTCAATCCAAATTTCCGGCGTCTTCAGGGACCACAGCGCTTTCATCTCAATCGAGTCCATGCTGAGATTTCCCATAGTGATCGCGGGCAGCTTGAGCACCACAACCCGGCCGGCCAAGTAGCAGTCCGACTCACGCGCTGGACGGGATTCGGGGGCGGGGTCGCCGAGGGCTTCGGCCGCCTCGCGCACGGCAGCCTGGTAAGCTATGGTGCAGGCCGTGGACCTGGCATCCAGCAACTCAGTCCACGCCGGGATGGACAAATGGTGTGCCTCCCGGCCAGCTTGAAGTTGAAGTGGCTTCCCTGTGCAAAACGTAATGAAAGCGCGATCCCATTTCTCGATCTTCACGAAAGTCAAGTCTTCCACCTCCTTGGTGACGGGGACCCACTGCCGACTCTTCTTCAAGTCGCCGCCCGATATTTGCCACACCTGGCGAACGGTCAGTTCGCAGTCCATGGCCACAGCAACTTGCGCACAGAAAACGGCGAGACTAGCTCAACCTACGGCTTTCAGGCTGTGTGGCTAGATAGCGGCATGGGCGAGTACGTCGGGACCCTGCCCAGCATTAGAGCGAGCTGCGCGTGCCCTGCTCTAATCATAACACGCAGCTTGAAATGCCTCTGTCAGACGCATGCGGGCGCAGCGCAGGCGCACATTCCATTTTGATGGCTCGGCCTTCATGGGGAGCAATGCGCGCAGGCAGGTCTCATGACACGCCGCTTCGGCGATTGGGTGCACACACACACGCACAAGCTCGAACAGATGAGCTGGAAAACTCCATTTCCCTCAGTGCTACGTCTGCTTCCAAAAACCCTGTCCATATTGGAGAATTATATATGGTCGTTAAACAAAAAACTTCAAATCGCTACGTATATAAACATGCATGCGTATCAATGCTGTCCGTGTCCTTCAGAAGCTCGGCCTTCGCCACCGGGTTTAGGGTTTAGGGTTGAGGGTTTATAGGGTTTAGGGAGTTTAGGGTTTAGGGTTATATATATATATAGTCATATAGCACCATCCATATACGTCCTTTGTCTCAGCAACCTACGCAGGTGTGCTTCCTCCCTGAGCCCTATAACCCTATATAACCCAATAAACCCAATTTAGACACATGGAGCAAGATCTATATAAGCGAGATCTTGAACTGACGCGAGCCAACACTCCTGGGCGAGTATATAGCAACCCTGCCCGGCGGTGAAGCGAGACGCGCTCTGCTCCAAAACAAGTGCTGCCACTGCAAGCGGCTCTGGATACGCATGAGGTTTAAACGCCTCTCGAAGCAAGTCACACTTCAACTTCTTGGGCAAGAAGTCCTTTGGATATCAGTTTTCTGGACTCCACTGGAAAAACGTTGCTTTCGCATGGTGTCTATATATATCTATGGAAAAAATTAGGATGTATATTTATATACATGATGTTTCATTTATCAAGAACAAGCCATACGGCGGCCGAATCAAGCTGCCTTCAGCTTCTTGGCTGAAGGCAGCGGCACGAGCACCTCTGGCTCAGGTTTCGCTGCGACCGGTCGGAACAAGACAAGCTGGTCGCCCGCGTGCAGGACGGTCTTGTTCCTGGCAATCGGGAGCTTCCAACTCCCGTCAATCTTGATGCGTCGATTCATGTGACCCTTGGGTGTGATCTCGACGTTGGAGTCCTTCTCCTCGCTGCATGTCCTCATGACCCAGAAAGGGTGTACAAAGGCCCGACCTTTGCCCACGTCCTTGGAAGGCGCATGGTGGCATGGGAGAATCCATGCTCTGTAGCTCGTGCCCAAGAGATCGATGACGCCGACGCAGATGGCAGCGCTGCTCGAAGGGGTTTCCTGCTCGGGCCGGATGTCGAACTTGCAGCTGAGCGGGGCAATCATGAGCTGGCCTGGCGCGTGCTTCTCGCGGACCACTACGTCCTTCTGTGGCTTCAAGTAGATGCCCAGGGCGTCTTCCGCAACGGGGTGCTGACCCTCGGTCTCAAGCGCCCTCCGAAGGAGTTCTGATCGCCACTGCGCGATCAAAAACTCAATGTTTGCTGGCGGGAGGAAGTGCATCCACCCCTGCAGCTCTACCGCGTCCGGTTTGCTCTTGGAGGCGCGCCAGGCACCTTGCAAGAAGCTCTCAGCGGACACTGAGGCACTGGTGCCGTCTGGCAGCTGTAGCGTGACCTTGTCAGCGGACATGTCCTGGATCACTGCCTGCGCTGCGTCCGCTTTCCTGACAACGTCCTGCCCGGTATGGAAGCCGTGAGATCGCAGCAAGCTCGAGTCCGTATGCTTGCCTTCATGGTCCAGCTCACGAAGCCTCAATTGAGATCATGCTTCCAGCCTACGTTTCTATAACCAATAAGAACCGACATGACCATCTATAATAGCCATAAATATATATATATATATATGAGCTTGTACACATGATGTGAGTCCTGCAGATTCACACCGCACGAGAAGCGCAGACATGTGTATACGCCTGGGCGAGTATGAGAACCCTGCCCAGGTTTGGAGCGAGGCGGCGCTCTGCTCCAAAGCAACATGAATGAGCTCCCCAATTCCACCAAAAAATGTACAGCCATATATTGGCGTCCACATAACTTTTGGTAAATGACCATGAAAAATAACGAGTCAGAGTAGAAACCTGCGTTTTCTACACATCCCACGCAAAACTCACCTAAACCCTAAACCCTATAAACCCTTAACCGTGTAGATATATAGGCGAACTGCGCGTTATATATTGATTATATATATATATATAGCAACCATGATTAATAAAATGCCTCGCGACGCCTCAGCTCCGGATGCAGCAGGCGAAAGGCTCTGGGACTTCTGGAGGGAACTTCCTGAAGAGACTTCCGGCATGGAGACAGGAGAGATCAACGACAAGCCGGACCGCTTGTTCGCCAGAGTCACGCAAGCCTCCACTGCGGCCTCCATGCTGTCGTACTTCTTGAACTTCTTGTCCAAGATGAGGCTGATGAGGTCCACATGAAGGAAGCCTACCGCTTCCAACACTATATGATCGGCCACGCGGTTGCTGACCAGAAAGTCCTTCGCTTGCGTGGCAAGCTTCTGCGCCTTCTCAACCTTGGAAGCCACGCCGTTCGACAGAAGCCTTTTGATGTCAGAGACGGTGAGAGGCTTTTCATCTGATAGCCCGTGAGCAAACTGCAGGGCCATGTGACGAATCATGACCTTTTGGTCTGCGCCCTTGACATCAACTGAGAGACCTTCGTAGATCTCTATGCCCAGGGCTCGGTTTGCGAAGCCGTGAGCACGCACCCACGCCTCTGTCTGATGCAGCAGATGGGCAGAGGCACCTCCCCCGTACCGGAGGGTGAAGACGAAGAGTGCTGGCACAGCAGCCGCGCATCGCGGCTTGCTTTTGAGAACCTGCTGCTTGATGTCCTGCAGGGTGATTTCGGCCAGAGGGCCTCGCTGACGTCTCAGCTCCTCGATGCAGCGGATCATCTTCCTGCACACTTGCAGCTCCGTCTCCTCCCTTGCGACGTGCCCACTCGCGTTCGCCGCTGACTGGGCCAAGCGGCAGAACTGCGGGAATGTCTCAGGTACGATGCGGCTCACCACCTTGTAGGTGGCGCCGTTGAGGCAGACGTCGTGGAAGTCTGGGTCCTTCTGCCTGAGCTTCGCTAACGACAAACGGCCTTGCTCCGTGACTGTGTCCAATGGGTGCGGCACGCCGGCCAAGAAAAGCCTCATTGCCTGCGTGGTGTGACTACCCGCGATGGTAGCGAACTTCAGCGACTCAAGATCATCAAACTCGGCAAGGCGACCGCCGGACTCGGCGATGATCTTGGCATTGTAGCTGCGCACCTCAGGCATGTCCTTCTGGGAGAGCTCGACTGCCATGCCTCTGAACTCCGAATCGGACCAGCCAAGCTCGACCAAGTCGCCGAGGAGCTCGGCCACGTGGCCGCTGCTGACCCCTGAGCCATCTCTGTTCCAAGGGTGGACGCCCATGAATCGGGCACTGATTCTTTGCTCTGACATGAGGTGATTTTCTTCCAACAAGCGATACACGGACTCCATGGAGCGCACGAGCGTGCCCTGCTCAGCAATCTTGAGGAGCTCCTCGATCTTGGTCTTCAGCTCGAGAGTGAGCGGCATGATGTTTCAGATGCTGGGGGAAGGGTCCTACAAAGCTTGCCTTGACACGAGAAAGCTTGCGAAGCCCGCGAGCACTGAGCTCTGCGCTGCCTGGCTTGCGAGATAAGATCCCTGCAAACCGCTGTGTGAGCACTAGCATGCGAGACATGGCCCCTGAGCAGCAACACGTTGTCCTCCTGTTTTCCTCCAGGTCACCCAAACAAAACCGCCTATAATACAAGAAGCTATGTACACACGGCTGCAAAAATTGCTACATATATATAGCGAGCATGGAGGGCGGTCGCTACGTGAACTCTAATACGCCAGCTCTCAAGTGTTGAACTCGCGTGAGAAGTTGCGCCGCTGCGCGAAAGAAGCATTGAACTGCTGCGGCGGCTTTGCAAAGAGAATGCGAAGGGGATATATAGTTCCAAACAGCAAGCTGCGGGACCGCGCGAAATGAGAACCCTGCGCCGGCTGCAAGCGTTATTGCAATGAACATGTTTCCTCCCCGCCTCTCTCTGCATCATGACGCTCACGTTACAAAACACGCAAGTCCTGGTAAGCTTTTGCACACACAGGCGCTTCGGCCGATGCGTCGGAAAAAGTGAGTGTAGCGAAGCGTTATATTCTGATGTTTGGCTTTTATAATCGCGCCATGGCCGTATGTGTACATATATACGCGCAACGGATCTACCAAAAATTCCTGCGCTTCTGCCAGCAAGCAAAACTGTTGGACAGTCAGTCAGGTGTATCACTACACAAAACCTCTATTAACAATATTGCAAACGCCATATCTATATGCATCCAAAACACCAACCATGCAGCTGTCCATGCACACCAGAAACACCTTGAATTTGCATTTCAGCCCACAGGCAGAAAATGCTTCTTCAGTGAGACAATGTTAGTTTTGGTTTTTCGGATGACGCGAAGGTGGGGTTTCAAAACACTTGGCACATCGGCGCCCCAGACACAGCCCTCACAATCACTCAGCTGACGATCTGTGGCAGAGATCAGCTCGATGTTTTGTGACCAAGTGACACGGTTCATGCCAACCAAAAGGTCGTGCATGCTCAGCCTCAGGTACGCCACAGTGATGTTCTTCTTGTCGTCGACATCCAAGGTAACTACAGTCGCCCCCGAGAAGGTAGAGCGAGCCTGGAACCTGAAAACAAACGCAGCCTATACTAAATGTAGAAACATGATAGCGTAGGATTTTTGCGTGCGTTTGTTGAGAAATCAAATTCGTGCGCATAAGCACACTTTTTCTGCAACATGGCCTCACAAACCCGAGTATAGGCATGTGGCTGGCATGAATCTTCAGGACGAGACATGGACGGATCGGACGGATCAAAGCGCGCAGCTCCCCGTGCCCGTACAACCGCAGGCCGCTGTCCACATCATACACGACGCATGTGTAGCAGCAAAATCTGCCGTAGGGGTCCTTCATCCACACAGGCCCGGGATTGAGGGAGCTGCGGGCAATCTCGCGACACTGCTGTCGCGACATGGGCTCCCAAAAAAAAGCTGCAGGCTCCCCGTCCGACCAGGTCCACCCGCAATCCAGGTGAGCCATCTCAAACCTTGCTTGCTCTGACATGGCCTCAGCAAATATTCACCTTATAACTGAAAACACTTGAGCTGCGCAAGCGCGACGGGAAAGCAAACGAGACATACGTTGAACAAGTTTGCATCTCACTATATATATATATAAACGTATAAGATACGCGTATAGCGTCTGCCACTATCAACCTTCATCATTTCGCACTCGAGGTCTTCAGTGCTTCCACACATGCTTATCCAAAGTTGACGTGACCCCCGTTAATCTGGCGCTTACACTTCTGAAGTACATGGCGGCGCTGCGAGCTGGCTTGCCCTGCAGAACAGCACCTGCGAGATTCCATGTATCCCTGCAGTGCAGCCCGAGCAGGAATGTGTTGTTTTCCTCCGCTTAAGCTGCGTGACGAAGCAAAACTTGCCGGATACTGCCCCTCGCAGACATCCTGCAGAAACTGTTGGGCTGGAGTCCTCGCTCACTGCCTTAAGCATTCAGGCTCCGAAAATGTTGCCTCAGTGCAACAGGGGCCGGCTTGCTTTTCTTCTTCAGCCTGCATACGGGCGCAGCCTTTGCTGCTGCGCGTCTGCCCCAAACGTCCACATTGCGCTGCATGGCATCACCAGTGACGGATGAGAACACCACCACGTCCTGCGCAGGGGAAATGCGTCCCGCTGCAACTGCCGCGTGGCGAAAATTTGTCCTGCCACGGCATTATGTCATTTCACGTTGCCTTACATATACTTATGCAAAACGCTGATTCGTTTCCATCCGGCTCGCCTCAAGTACTTGACGCTGATGCTGGTCATATCTGAAAGGGAAAACTCGGAAATGACGTTTCCTGACATGATGGAGCGGCCCTGGAACCTCAGAGAAGAAGAAAACCAAAAACAAAAAACAAGTTGTCAACTTAGAAAGCAGCACACACACACAAAGATTGCAGATAGGAAAGCCTCACGGTGCCATTAGCTGGGCGGTGCTCCGCGTGCACGCTCAGGAGCAAGCTGGGCCCCACACTGCGCACCAGAATGCGCACTATGGGGCCGCTGCCAATTTTTCTGAACATTCTGAGGTCTCCGTTCATGTCATGCAGCACAAACTGCTGGGAGCGGATGCCGAATCTTATCCACACAAAGCCAATGCCCTGGAGAATTCTGTTCGACTGCATATCCGTGAGCGGGTTCCACTGCGAAAGGGCCGGTAGCTCATCGCCCCATGCCCAAGAGGCAGCAATCCACGCAAACTCAAAGCAAGCTGCCATTGCACCGGGATTCACAAGCGAAGCGATGCTTGGTTCGAAACTGCGGCGAGCTCGTGGCCCTGCTGCAAGCAGTCTGCGAGCCCTGTATGGCCCTGCAGACGCGCGCGTCAAGTCATGGGAAAACATGTCAAGTTCCCTTTTTGGGGGGAGCTATATACACTTCCCAAACCCTAAATAAATATGGGGTCTACAGATAAAGGGCTATATGCATACATACATGCATGCATATATACACATAAGCA